CATGACCCAAGATCATGACCTGAGCCGAAACCAAGAGTTGGATGACCAATCTACTGAACCACCCAGGCTCCCCCAGTAACCATTTTTTAAAATAGTATTCATTGTAGAAAATCTGCATATTTAAATCTTTTTTTTAAAGATCTATTTATTTATTTGAGAGAGAGAGAGAGAGCAGGGGTTAGGGGCAGAGGGAGTCATAAGCAGACTCTGTGCTGAGTATGGAGCCCAATGTGGGCTCGATCTCACAATCCTGAGATCACAACCTGAGCCAAACCAAGAGTCAGGTGCTTAACCAACTGTGCTACCCAGGTGCCCCTGGATAGTTAAATCTTTAGGAATCTGCTATATGCCAGGCATTAGGCCAGGTTGTAGGATACTAGAAGGAATAGCATGATTCTTCTGTTTAAGAAGAGTCCAGTGAGGGAGAGAGACATATAATTGAAAATTCACCATTCTTGGGGCACCTGGGTGGCTCAGTCAGTTATGTGTCTGCCTTCAGCTCAGGTCATGATCCTGGAGTCCTGGGAGTCCCAGGATTGAGCCCTGCATCAAGGCTCCCTGATCAGCGGGAGTTTGCTTCTCCTCCGCCCCTCACCTCACTGATGTTCTTTCTCTCGCATTCTCTCTCAAATACATAAAATAAATCTTTATTTTTTTTTAATATTTGACAGAGAGAGACACAGCGAGAGAGGGAACACAAGTAAGGGGAGAGGGAGAGGGAGAAGCAGGCTTCCCGCAGAGCAGGGAGCCTGATGCGGGGCTCGATCCCAGGACCCTGGGATCATGACCTGAGCTGAAGGCAGACGCTTAACGACTGAGCCACCCTGGCGGCCCTAAAATAAATCTTTAAAAAATTCACCATTCTTTAGTTCTTTCATGTCTTCACTTCCCTTCCTTCACTTCCTTCTCTGCTTAGAGTCCATGATCTATTATTAAAATTAGTCTTGTGAATATATCCTCAGTAAACTTGTTCTTCTTTTCCTACACTGTAGTCCTCCAACTCTATTCCAACACTTGTTAAATGAAACTCTCTATCTGTTTCTTGCCTGTACCTGGGTAGCTAAATGTGGAGAAGAATACACTATGCTCACTGGTGACTACTGATCTTAAGTGGGCCTTTAGTATAGCTCAGCTAAATTTCTCTATTTCTGCAATTGGTTTGCTCTCCCACTTTCAAGATGACAATTTCATGTGTTCTTTTTTTTTTTTTTTTCAAATCAGCAACACATCTCCCCCCTTCTAACTAAAGAAATTGCTTCCTGGGGCACCTGGGTGGCTCAGTTAAGCGTCTGCCTTCGGCTCAGGTCATGATCTCAGGGTCCTGGGATCAAGCCCCGCATCAGGCTCTCTGCTCAGCAGGGAGTCTGCTTCTCCCTCTCACTCTCCCTCTGTGCTCTCTCTCTCTCAAATAAGTAAATAAAATCTTAAAAAAAAAAGAAATTGCTTCCTGTTTCACTGGTAACTTTGAGGTAGTCAGAAGATATCTAACTCCCTCATGGTCCTGTTGCCACAGCTATCAACATATATACACCTGAATGTGAATACCCTCTTTCTCCTGTTCCAGTGGATGACAGTTCAAGTTTTTGTCTAGAATCCACATCATTACTTGTGGGCTGAATCCCATCACTCTGTTCTGTTCAAGGACATAACCCAAGGACATAACAAAGGAATTGTCCTTTTTCTTTGGCGATCAGTAGTTTTTGTCTCTCTACTGAGCCATTCTTGTCAGCATATAAATATGTGATACTATCTCCCTTTTAAGAATAATAAAGAGGGGCGCCTGGGTGACTCACTCGGTTAAGTGTCTGCCTTCATTTCAGGTCATGATCCCAGGGTCCTGGGATTGAGCCCCGCTTTGGGCTCCCTGCCCAGTGGGGAGTCTGCTTCTCCCTCTCCCACTCCCCCTGCTTGTGCTCTTGCTCTGTCAAATAAATAAATGAAATCTTAAAACAAAAAAAAGAATAATAAAGAAAGAAAATTCCCCCCCCCCAAAAATTCCCTTGAGCCTATATCTCTTTCCAGCTACTTCCCTATTTCTCTGCTCCCTATTTACAGCAATACTCCTCAAGACAGTTGTTGTGGGCATTTCTTTTTCATCTTCTTTCATTCTCTTTAATCCATTACAGTCCATTGAAACTATTTTGTCAAGATCACTTAGTGATCTGTACTTCACCAAGCCCCGAGATCATTTATCTGGTTGATCATTTTCTCTTTGTTGAAATGCTTTCTTAAAAATACACCATGCTTGGGGCACCTGGGTGACTCAGTTGTTAAGTGTCTGCCTTCGGCTCAGGTCATGATCCCAGGCTTCTGGGATCAAGCCCTGCATCAGGCTTCCTGCTCGGCAGGGAAGCCTGCTTCTCCCTCTCCCACTCCCCCTGCTTGTGTTCCTGCTCTCGCTGTCTCTCTCTCTGTCAAATAAATAAAATCTTTTTTTTTTTTTTTTAAATATACCATGCTCTTATTTCTCTTTTAACTTTATTAATCGCTCTCTCTCGGTTTCCTTTGCTGGTTCTTCCTCATTTTCCTAACTGCTAAACATTGGTGAACCCCAGGACTTAGACCTTGGACCTCTTCTTTTGTTCAGCTATGCTCATTTCAAGTAATATCTATAGGCTGACGGCTCGTGAACTTTAGATTCTTCAAGTAGCCTGCTGGATCATCTACTCTCAGATGTTCTCTAGGCATCTCAGACTTAACATGTCTAAAAACAAAATATTTTCCCCCTTTAAACATGTTCTTTTTATATAGCCTTCTTCATTTCAATAAAAATTCCATTCTTCTAATTGCTTAAAGTAAAAAACTTGAAATCATCTTTATGTCGTCTTTCTCTTATACCCATCCATGTCCATGTCCATGTCATCAGCATGTCTTTTCAGCTCTCCAGAATATATTCAGAATCCCACCATTTCTCACTACCTCCTCTGCTACTATCCTTGTTCAGGATGCCATCATCTCTTGCCTAGATTATTTAAATAGTCTCCCAGCTGATTTTTCTACTTCTACCCCTGCTCACTTTGACCGGTTTCTTCTTAACCCAGCAGTTAGAGTGAGCCTTTTAAAATACATGATAGATGATATTATTCTGCTCAGAATCCTCTGGTGTCTCCCCATCTTACTCAGTAAAAGCCAAAGCTTACAGACTGTTACATGATCTGAGCTCCTTTTACAGCTCTTACTTCTCTCCTACTAGTATTCTCCCTTTGGCTCATTCAGCCCCAGCATCACTGGTCTCCTTGCTGTTCCTTGAACATGCCAACCATGCTTTTACTTCAGGGGCTTTGTTCTTGCTGTTCCTCTGCCTGAATACCTTTCCCCCTAGGTATCTGCTGTGCTAGTTCCCTCACTTCATTTAAGAGTGTGCTTAAATGTCACCTGAATAGAGTGGTTTTCCTTGTGCAACATATAAAATAGCAAACCCTCTACCCCCAGAACTATCTCTTTCCTTTACTCTGCTTTATTTTTTTCCATAGGACCTATTACCATTTGATATATCTAGTTGTTTATTGTTATGTTTTTTCATAAACTAAGTCTGGCTTGTTCATTCCTATGTGCACTGTACCTCATACAGTTCCTGGCACAGGGTAGATATTCAAAATAAAGTTTTTTGGGGGTTTTGTTTTGTTTTGTTTTAGAGTGGGGAGGGGCAGAGGGAGAGGGAAAGAGAATCTTAACCAGGCTCCATGCATGGAGCCGGATGCGGGGCTCAATCTCACCACCCTGAGATCATGACCTGAGCTGAAATCAAGTCAGACGCTTTACCAACTGAGCTGCCCAGGCACCCCAAATAAAGTTTTTTTGAATGAATGAGTGCCTTTTAACTTTTCTGTAGCAGAGAGACCATCTTGCATTTATTGTGAATGTATGTATGGGTGTATCTACCTATAGTAACTACATGTGATTAGGTGGTTCTTCTAATGTACATTTTATAGGAATAGTTCCTCATTCATCTAAATACTGACTTTCTATAAGCATTATTAAATCATTCCATATATTCAAAGCTATTGTGTTTGACCTTTCACAAATCCCAATGCCTCATTTATCATGTGTAAATAGCATGGCATAAAGAGATGTGGAGATGTACTTTTCCCCCCATTAAGTCTGCATGCTGTTATAAGAAGAGTTGAATGGGAATGGTGCAGTGTTTTGCTATGATAGAATGAATCAACCTGCTGTGGTTTGGTTATACTATGTGGGACTTGGAAAACACTGCCATTTTAAGCTTTGGGTATAAATTATCTTTAAGGGACCATTGTATATGACTCAATAAACAAAAGTGGTCTAAACTATTTAAGCATCAAATTACCTCATTCTAATATAAATGGCTCTTCAAAAGCTATACTTTATAAAACAGTTGAATGACAGTTGAATCATTTACTTATTGTGATGGTCTAAATAAATAGTCGTTTCCAAGAATTATAAGCAAATATAAAAGACAAAATAATGTAAGGTGCTAGATTAATTACTCAGTCATAAATCATTCATGTTTATGCATTCACAATAAAACCTTGAGGGTGTTGGTGATTATGTGTGACACATGTTTATCATCCCCCTTCATACAGAGATGGTCTGCTTCTCCCCACAGACACACAACCTCGTATCTTTAGGTCCCAAAGAAATTGTCTCTGTTCTTCCTGGAAAAAATATAAATAGAATTTAAATTAGAAAATTCATTCAGAAAACAACCAAAAGATATAATTTACTTCTGTTTTAGTTATTTTTCTTAAGTGACTATTTTTGTTAAATTTGTTGATACTGACTGCTGGTTAGGTATATTTGCCTTTAGTTACCAAGATATTTTATAGACAAATGAAATAGTTGTAAAAATAAGATATTGTATATACTTTTACATGTTTATATATGCCTTTTCAACTGTTCTAATCTGATTAACCTAGTAAAACTTGTTTATTATGAGACACTATACTTTTATATCTCCATATGAAAGTAGTACTTTGATAGAATTTTGGGGAAAAAATCTACAGTTGCTATCTTGTTCACAGGAAGGGAGGCAATAATAAGTTAATAAAGATCTATCATCGAGATGGTAAATACGGCTTTTCTGATCCTCTGACATTTAATTCTGTGGTGGAGCTCATTAACCACTATCATCATGAATCTCTTGCTCAGTACAATCCCAAACTTGATGTGAAGCTAATGTACCCAGTGTCCAGATACCAACAGGTATGATTATAGAAGTTTCTTTTTTTTTTTTTTTTAAAGATTATTTATTTATTTATATTTATTTGAGAGAGAGAGAGAGAATTAGCAGGGGAGGTGGAGCAGAGGGAGAGGGAGAAGCAGACTCCCCACTGAGCAGGGAGCCCAATGTGGGATTCGATCCCAGGACCCCAAGATCATGACCTGAGCCAAAGTCAGATGCTTAATCAACTGAGCCACCCTCATGCCCCTATAGAAGTTCTTGATAGCTATTCAACAAGTCATTTTTAACATCATTTCATTTTAATTTACCAGGCTCATCAGTTAAAAAAAAAGAAATCTGGTCATTTTAAATTTCCTACTTTAAGATTTAAGATATTTTTGGAGCTTATTTTGTGACTACTAGTCCTTAATAGCTTGTTGCATGTACTTATTAACTTTATATAAAAATATTTCTGTTTCTGTTTCCTATTTATACTTCATTTCTTAATTTTTCAAGTATTAATTATTTTGATGTGATCTAAAGGCTGAGTGTTAACAAAAAGATTAGGTGCTTTTGCATGCTTAATATTAATACAGTGGCTTAAACTTACAGTAGAAATGCAATTTAAAAATAAATAGATGTGGAAAAATTCATGTGTCAGAATTGTTAACATTCTTTATTTCTTTTGTTTAACTGTACAGGATCAGTTGGTAAAAGAAGACAACATTGATGCAGTTGGTAAAAAACTGCAAGAGTACCACTCTCAGTATCAGGAAAAGAGTAAAGAGTATGACAGGCTATATGAGGAATATACCAGAACGTCCCAGGTTAGTAAATATTTGTTGTTTAGGCCAGTAAGTATGCAATGCTACAGTTACATCAGATTTTCTATAATTCACCTGACAGTCCTTAACTGTCTTAATATCTTGAACGGCGTTTTTGAGACTGTGATGATACAAATTCTTCTCCCATTCATAAATCACTTTTTTATTGGTTAAAGGTATAATTTTTTTCAGTTAGTATTAACTAGGATAAGGTTTGACTGCAAATGACAAAAAATAACAATAGCAAAGGCTTCAGATAGAAATTTATTTTTCTTTCATGTATAGGCACAGTGCCAGGGATATTGTGTCAACTACACAGTCATTAGGGCTTAGGGTTCTTCTGTTTTGATGCTTTGCTATCTGTAGAAATTGGCTTACTCCAATATCAGCCATCACAACAATATTCTAGCAAACAAGATAGAAGAATAGGAAGGAAAGTTTCCTGTTTTTTTGTTTTTGTTTTTGAAAGTTTCCTGTTTTTAAGGCTACTTCCTAGAAGAAGTACACACTGCTTCTACTTTCATCCCACTGGTAAGACAGCTGCAGATTACAACTAGCTGCAGGGAGGCTAAGAAAGCTAATTTTTATTTGGTCAGGTATACCCAACTAACATTTGAGAGTTTACTGAGGAAGAAGGAATTAATGAGAATTAGGAGACAACTAGTAGTCTTAACCACAGTTTTTAGATCATAAATCTTTTTTTTTTAAGATTTTATTTATTTGACAGAGAGAGACATAGCAAGGGAATACAAGCAGTGGGAATGGGAGAGGGAGAGGCAGGCTTCTCGCGGAGCAGGGAGCCTGATGCGGGGCTCAATCCCAGGACCCTGGGATCATGACCTGAGCCGAAGGCAGACACTCAACGACTGAGCCACCCAGGCGCCCCGATAAATCTTTTTTTTAAAAGATTTTATTTATTAGAGAGAGCAAATACAAGCAGGGGGAGGGGCAGAGAGAGAGGGAGAAGCAGACTCCCCTGTTGAGGAGGGAGCCCAACGTGAGGCTTGATCCCAGGACCCTGGGATTATGATCTGAGCTGAAGGCAGACGCTTAGCCAACTCAGCCACCCAGGTACCCCAAGATCGTAAATCTTAATAATATTTCTTTTATCATATGTATGCGATACAACAAAATTCTGAAGAATACTCTAGTTCTCTTCCTAGAACTTCTTTTCCTTAGTTCTTTTCCTAGAACTATTTTTTTAAAAAATATATATTTTATTTATTTGAGAGAGAGTGGGAGAGAGAGTGAGCACAAGAAGGGGGAGGGGCAGAGAGAGACGCAGACTCCCTGCTGAGCAGGGAGCCTTTGGGCTAGATCCCAGGACTCAGGGATCATGACCTGAGCCAAGGGCAGACACTTAACCAACTGAGCCACTCAGGCACCCCTCCTAGAACTACTCTGATTCTTGTTTAGTTACACTTGAATTGGTTTAATTTGCCCTGAGTCATTACCTAATATATAAAAAGTGCTGGGAATTTTTATGAAGGTGCAGGTCTTCAGGGAAGTTTATCCATTGCAATATTTGGGTTAGTAGTGGCCTAAGAAAATACGTCTAATTGGGTTTCTTATCCTCATTTTTTGATTATTTATTTATTTTAGGATTGTTTATTTTGGAGAGAGAGAAAGTGAGTGAGGGTCCACATGCTCAGGGTGGGGGGGGCGGTGAGGGAGGGTGAGGGGCAGAGGAAGAGGGACAAGCACATTCTGTGCTCAGCCATTCCAGGGCTCAATCTCACTACCCTGAGATCATGACCTGAGCTGAAATCAAGAGTCAGATGCTTAACCGACTGAGCCACCTGGGCTCCCCTTTTCTTGCATATTCTTTTGAAACACAGGTTATTACTTTGAACATCAAATAACTTATAGAAGCATTAGTCTGTGTTGATTAGTCCATGTTATGGTAGCATTAGTCCATTCTACTAAACTCATATTGAATTCTCAGTGCCATAATAACTTGGCTGAATCCTTTATTGGACATAAGAGTAATGGACTTTTTCTAGTGTTTGTTTTCTGTTGTGTTTGTTATTATTACTGCTTTTTATTATTTCCTTTTTTTTGCTTTCAATTTATTTTTATTTTTACTTTTTTTTAAAGATTTTATTTATTTATTTGACAGAGAGAGACACAGCGAGAGAGGGAACACAAGCAGGGGGAGTGGGAGAGGGAGAAGCAGTCCTCCCGCGGAGCAGGGAGCCCGAGGCAGGGCTCGATCCCAGGACCCTGGGATCATGACCTGAGCCAAAGGCAGATCTTAACGACCGAGCCACCCAGGCACCCCTGCTTTCAATTTAATTTGCTTTTCTTTTACTATCTTAAGGTGAAAATTTTGTTCATTGGCTTTAAAACTTTCTTATTTTCTAAAATAAGCATTTAAAGCTATAAATTTTCTTCTAAGCACTGCTATAGGTACATCCTACAAATTTTGTTATTATTTTCCTAATTTGGTTTTAAATATTTTCTAATTTCTCTTGTGATTTCTTCTTTCACCATATGTTTTTTAATTTCTAAATATTTGGGGCTTCTCTGGATACTATGTTATTTCTAGTTTAATTTTTTTGTAGTCAGTGAACATAATTCATTAAGGTTGCCATCATTTGAAATTTATTGACTTATGACCTAGTACATGCCTTATCTTAGTTAACTTGCACACTGAGAAAGACTAATAATGTTGTTGGTATAGTGCTCTTTCCGTTGTTAGTATAGTCCTCTATAAATATCAATTAGGTGAAAGTGATTTATGGTGTTATTCAGATATTCTATATCTTTACTGATTTTTTTTTTTTACTAGTACTGTCAGTTAATTAGGGGTCTTAAAGTCTCTAGTTGCCATTGTAGATTTGTCTATTTCTCTTTTTAGTTCTGTTAGCTTTTGCTTTATATGTATTGAAATTCTATTAAGAGCTTACACATTAATAGTAAATTTACTCCTTTATAATATGAAATATTCCTCAGAGTGCCTGGGTGGCTCTGTTGGTTGAGCGCTGGACTCGATTTCAGCTCAGGTCTTGATCTCAGAGTCGTGGGATCGAGCCCCTCCTCCTCCACACTGAGTCTGCTTGAGATTCTGTCTCTCCCTCTCACTCTGCCCCTCACGCCTCTCACACACACATTCTCTTTCTCTCAAATAAATAAATAAATCTTTTTTAAAAATATGAAATAGTCTTCTTTATATCTGGTAATCTTCCTGGTCTTGAAGTCTACTTTTTCTAATATATCCCCATCAGCTTTCATACGCTTAATATTTGCATGATATATTTTTTCTGTCCTTTTACTTACTTATTTTCTGTCCTTTTACTTTCAATGTATTTGTGCCTTTATAGTTAAAGTGCATTTCTTATAGATAATAATATATAGTTGGGTCTGGCTTTTTAAACAATCCAGCCTAACAATCTCTGCCTTTTAACTGGAGTGTGTAATCCATTTGGATGTCTTGTAATTATTGATATGGTTGGGTTTATATTTACTTTTTTGCTATTTGTTTTCTTTTTGCTCCATCTGTTTTTGTTCCTCAGCAACTTTTTCATGGTTGTCTTTTGCGTCAAATGTTTTTTAGTATTCCGTTTTGATTCCTCATCTGGCCTTTTAGTTATGTCTCTCTTTTTGTTTTCCTGTAGGAAGTTGCTCTAAAGATTACAACATGCATTCTTTCCAATTTTAGTGTATGTGCTGCCAAAGCGAGCACACAGCATGCATTCTTAATCACAGTTACTTAAGTTCATACTGCACCATGTAGCATGTGAATATAATAACTGTGCTATTATATAATTCTATTTCCACCTCTTATTACTGTCATGTATTTTATATTTACATGTTAACTCCATAATTTATCGTTATAATATTTGCCTATTCTAGGTACTTTATGTAAATGGAATCATACAATATTTGTCCTTTGGTTACTTCACTAATTATAATGTTTTCAAGGAAAATCCATGTTGTAGCATATATCAAAGTATCATTTTTTATGGCTGAATAATATTGCGTTGTATGTGTATGTGACATTTTGTTTATCCATTCATTTATTGATGGACATTTGGGTCCAGTTTCTGGCTGTTGTGAATTATACTGCTTATGAACATTAATGTACAAGTAACTGGTCAAGTCTCTGCTTTCATTTCTTTTAGATATATACCTAGGAGTGGAATTGCTGGATCATATAGCAGTTCTATATTTAACCTTTTGAGAAACTGCCAAACTTTTCCATACTGGCAAAACTATTTTACATTCCTACCAGCAATGCATAAAGATTCCAGGTTTTCCACATTCTCTCTAAGACTTGTTATTTTTTGTGTTTTTACTTCAATTTTTTATAGCCAGCCTAGTAGTCATGAAGTGATACTATTTTTGTTATTGTTGAGTTTTAGGGTTTGGTTTTTTTTTTAAAGATTTATTTATTATTTATTTTGAGAGAGTGAGAATGAGAGAGAGAGAGTACATGAGAGGGGGGTGGGTCAGAGGGAGAAGCAGACTCCCTGCTGAGCAGGGAGCCCGATGCGGAACTCGATCCCGGGACTCCAGGATCATGACCTGAACCGAAGGCAGTCGCTTAACCAACTGAGTCACCCAGGCGCCCTAGGGTTTGGTTTTTTTTAATCCCTTATCAGATACATGATTTTCAGATATTTTTCCCATTTTGTAGTTTGTCTTTTCGCTTTATTGATATCCTTTGACATGCAAATGTTCTTAATTTTGATGAAGTCCAATTTGTTTTTTGTTGCATATGCTTTTGGTATCATATTCATGAAGTTGTTCCAAATCCAGTGTCATAAGGATATTTTCCAATGTTTCCTTCTAGGAGTTTATTGTTTTTACTCTTAAATTTGGATCTTTGATCCATTTTGAGTTAACTTTAATATGTGGTGTGTTAAGGTTCCAGCTTTATTTTTTACATGTGAAAATACATTTTCCCTGCACTGTGGTCTCAACACCATTTCTCCATTGAATGATCTAGGGATATTTGCTGAAGTGAGACATTGATCATAAGTGTGAGGGTTTATTTTGGG